TATATTATTTATTTGATTAACATAAATTAAATTTATAAATATTATATTATATTGGAATATATTAGATAATTATTCGCTTATAATTATTCTTATAGTTTTTGTAGAAAGTCGGGACGAAGATATATTTGGTTATTTCTAAGATATATATATTTAGATATATTTTCGTTATTGGGATTTGTTTTTCCCCTTTTTTTCCCGAACGTTATTGGTTTAGAGACGGAGGTAGAAGAGCATTATCCGGCGGATTAGGCGACGGAGAATCGTTTATTTGGATTGTTTGATACTTAATTCTAGATTTAATCATATACTTAGTTATTATAATTCCGAATAATTGCTTAATTTTATTATTTAAATATTATTAAAATAATTAGAGGACGATTTGCTCGAAAGCATTTTTCCATAGGTGCTCCACTAATCCACCAACTAAGGGTTACTTGATTTGTTGTGAAACTTGTTGATAGGATGATTTAAAGGATGGATTCCCCATTCTGTGCATCCATCGCTCCTATTAGAAACTACTTATGTACCGCTAACATGCTGTTGGAAAGTCATGTCCGCCTCCCCTGATAATCGTGTGTATGGTTATATGAGAGCTCCATCGTATTAGCCTACTTTCCTCTCGAACTGCGCCGCGCGATTTCTCACGAAAGTGATCTGGGCAAGCTGCATTGTTCTAGGCTGCTGCGCGCAAATTGCTCTCTGCAAGCTGCTACGCGCAAGTGCTCTGTGTAAATTGCTCTGCACAAGTGCTCTGAGCAAGTTGCTCTGCGCAAGTGCTCTGTGCCAGTTGCTCCGCGCAAGCGCTTTGCGCATGTGCTCTGCGCAAATTGGTCTGTGTAAGTTGCTCTGCGACTGCTCTGTGCAAGTTGCTCTGCGCAAGTGCTCTGAACAAGTTGCTCTGCGCAAGGGCTTTGCGCTAGTTGCTCCGTGCAAGCGCTTTGCGCATATGCCCTGTGCAAGTTGGTCTGTGCAAGTTGCTCTGCGCAAGTGCTTTGTACAATTGCTCTGTGCAAATTGCTCTGCGCAAGTTGCTCTATGCAAATGACTCTGCGCAAGTTGCTCTACGCAACTGCTGCCGGAGCTGCGGGGGTGTGCTCCACGTACTACATTTGTACTTAAAAGTTGCGATTCTCCAGCCGGAGCTGCGGGGATACGCTCCGCATACTACGTTTGTACTTAAAAATTACGATGTTCCAGCCTGAGCTGCGGGAGCACGCTCCGCATATTACGTCTACACTTAAAAATTGCGATTTTCTACCCGGAGCTGCAAGAGCACGCTCCGCATACTACGTTTGTACTTAAAAGTTGCGATTTTCAAGCCGGAGCTGCGGGGATGTGCTCCGCATATTACGTTTGCATTAAAAAGTTGCGATTTTCCAGCCTGAGCTGCGGGAGCACGCTCCGCACACTACGTCTGTACTTAAAAGTTACGATTTTCCAGTCGGAGCTGCAGGAGCACGCTTCGCATACTACGTTTGTACGTAAAAATTGCGATTTTCAAGCCGGAGCTGCCGCGGACTAGGGGGAATCGAACCCGCGACCGAGAGATTACGAAAGCAGGCGCGAAAACCGCGAAACATTTTCCAAAAGCCGTTTCGCGAGCAAGAAAATCGCACGGCGCCACAACGAGAGCGCTCCGACACGCACAATCTACGTAGATGGTTCGCCAAGACTAACACAAATTCGCACGGCGCCACAGCGAGAGCGCTTCGACGCGCACGATCTCCACAGAGGGTCGCGCGCGGCCAGCAGAAATCGTAACCACGCGAATCTCCGTAGAGGGTCGTGCGCGCACCGCAGAAATCCTAAAAAAACCTCAATTTTTGAACCTCGAACACGCGAATCTCCGTAGAGGGTCGCGCGGACATACTAAAAATCATAAAAAATCCCAAATTTTTTGACCTCGACCACGCGAATCTCCACAGAGGGTCGTAATCCCAAGTGACGATTAAACTCCCGCCCCGGCGCCTTAGAAACCTAAACTAAGTTACATAGCTGCTAACGCCGAAGCTCTAAGCTCTACTTAACCTTGGCTTTATGTAACTTGGCTCTGTGTAACTTAGCTCTATATAACTTAATTCTATTTAATTTGGCTCTATGCAATTTGGCTCTATGTAACTTAACTCTATATAACTTGGCTCTATGTAGCTTAAATCTGTGTAACTTGGCTCTATGTAACTTAGCTCTATATAACTTAGCTCTATGTAATTTGGCTCTATATAATTTAGCTCTATGTAATTTAGCTCTATATAACTTGGTTCTATGTAATTTGGCTCTTATTAATTTAACTCTATATAATTTAGCTCTATGTAATTTGGTTCTATATAATTTAGCTTTATATAATTTAGCTCTATATAACTTAGCTCTATACAACTTAGCCAAAAATTCCACACAAAAAACCCTTCGTAATACTTTCGGGAAGATTTATTTATTTAAGATTTATATTCCTTTATAATATTAATTTCATAAAATTAAGTTAAGATCCTTAATAATATTATTTTATCCTTAAATAATATTTTATATTAATTTATTATTCTATTTTCGATTCTAAAATTGAATTTTGCAATTTTAAATACAATAATACTAATATAATTAATTATATTCAAACTAATTAAAATATATTACCCAAATTTAAAAATTTCATTAATATTTATAAAATATTTATTTATATTTAGAAAATTATATATACTATATATAATTTATAATATAAAATTATAATTAATTATAATCAATTTCTATTTAAAAAAATATATAATTATATATTATATATCATAATATCATTTAATCATATTTCCTATGATTAATAAATCAATTTAAACCAATATAAAATCTATCCAAATTATCTAATAACCCAAAAAATAATAATTCTTCCAATCACAATTTCCAAACAACAAGAATACCAACACAACAACCACAAAACACATACAACAAAACAAACAAACAAACCAAACATACTAAAACCAATAAATCAATTTAAACCAATATAATACCTATCCAAACTATCTAACAACAAAAAAAATACTAATTCTCCCAACCACAATTTCCAAACAACAAAAATACCAACACAACAACCACAAAACACATACAACAAAACAAACAAACAAACAAACCAAACATACTAAAAACAATAACAACAATTCCCAATACCTACCTCAACCAACACCCATCAAAAACACCAACCACCACCAATAACAACTCCCACAACCTTTTACAAAATACTCAACTAACACCACTAACACCAAACAAAAATTACAATTCATACATATATATATTACATATATATATATATATCCCTAGTTCAATTCTAAAGATTTTTAAATTCTCAGTATATATGTATGTATTTATGTAAATTCCGTACTAATATAACTATATATATAAACCACATATATATATATACACATAAATCTATGTCGGTTCACCCATCATTCCAATCAGTTTATGTATATATTGTATAGTTGTATTTCTTTTAGCACGAGCAGAGCTTGTCATACTAGCCACACTAGTCTTGGAAACACCGATAGATGTCCCGCAGTAGCGCCAACCCAATCAACGGACGAGAGCCCTGTGGCGGAAAATGATGCCATGGGTGGGCACCTCAGTCAAGGGAGCCAGACCAAACACTTTTTTTTGGCGGGATTGAGCTGTGCTTCGCACGCTGTGGCCAGAATAGACTTCTTTTAGCTGTTTGCAAATCTTTGGAGAACACCGCCCAATCCCGCCTTTGAAAAATACTTGATGACATTCCGGAGGATTCCGGGAGTGAGTTTGGGTGACGATCAATCACAAACTTTGGACTGAATGAGCTGGCTTTATGGATCACAATTGTGTGTTTGTCAGTCTTTTGAATACGACATGTTGCATACTTTGAAGAATTCGGCACCATTCGGAAGACCATTCAGTTTTGCCAACAAAGTCGTCTAAGGTAGATGCCCCTGTTTTTCTCTGGCCTTGGAATTTGCATCCAAACAAATTCCCGTGCAGCAGCAGCGGTCGGAAGGCAACTGAAAAACATGTCCACAGGGGTGTCGATACCTGAAATGGATTCCGACCGCCAGTTGAACACCTCGAAAAATGTTGCGCGATGCGCAGCCCCTTGCCCCTTGCCCTTGGCAAGGGCTTTGAGCTCAACAAAATCCCTGCGGTCAATTAGACTTCGTCAAAACTTGGACGTGCAGAAACAAAGGGATTTGGCGTGTGCAGGATTGCTCTTAAGGACTCACATCTCAAGGCAGCATAGAGCCTGTAGCACCCCCTCATTTCGAAACACGAGGCGAGATCAAAGCGTGGCATTCACGCGAAGCCCAAACGAGACATCGATTCGCTTGAATTTCTGGGCATCCACCACTTTCGCAGGCGCGAGCGCGCCCCGACCAGTTAGGCAGCAGTGGCCCTTTCAAGGCCAAGGGTGGAAAGCCAGCGGCGAGCGGCTTATCAGCTCGAGGTCAAAAAGTTCTTCTAATTGGGAGGATTGTCTCCGCAACAATGGGATTTCATTGAAACTTGCACGTGCAGAAACAAAGGGATTTGGCGTGTGCAGGATTGCTCTTCGCATAGGACTCACTCTCAAGGAAGAATAGCGCCTGTAGCACCCCCTCATTTCGACAGACGAGGCGAGATCAAAGCGTGGCATTCAAGCGAAGCGCACCCGAGACATCGATTTGATGTCCAGAGCTTGATTTTCTTGGCATCCACCACTTTCGCAGGCGCGAGTGCCCCCAATTGGGAGGATTGTCTGGGCAACAATGGGATTTGGCATGTATTGGATTGTGATGGTCTTTGAACATGATGTTGCAGGAATGGCACATGCAAGATCCCATAGTTTCGCGATGGGCCAGTGTGCAGTCTGCATCCGGAGCCCTAGGTCTAAACGAATTCTCACCATGCGCGTGGCCAGAAGCCCAGCTGCAAGGACATAAAACGCTCTCCATGAGCATTGAAAATCCACACATGCGTCAAAATTAAGACTTAGAGGGTTGTGTGACGCATTGCAATCTTTGACTGGACCAAAAGCCTCGCACTTTTGTTTTGATTCTGACGCATGTGCGAGAAAACTGTACGTGTTCTTAGATTGGAGCATGGCAATGTCCCAATCTATCAAAGCCCAGCCAGCACACTCTCCCCCTCATCTTCAGGTCTGTGCGGCAGTGATGGCATTGGTGGCATCGGCAGCTTCGTTTCATCCGGCCTGGCGGATTTTGAATCTGCAGACT